GCCCCAGGGGAGGACAGGGGGTCCCAGGGGAGGACAGGGGGTCCCAGGGGAGGACAGGGCCCCAGGGAGGACGGGGAGCCCCAGGGAGGACGGGGAGCCCCAGGGGAGGATGGGAAGCCCCAGGGGAGGACAGGGGGTCCCAGGGGAGGACGCGGGCCCCAGGGGAGGACGGGGGACCCCAGAGGAGGATGAGGGGCCCCAGGGGAGGACGGGAAGCCCCAGGGAGGACGGGGAGCCCCAGGGAGGACGGGGAGCCCCAGGGGAGGATGCAGGGCCCCAGGGAGGACGCGGGGCCCCAGGGGAGGACGGGAAGCCCCAGGGAGGACGAGGAGCCCCAGGGAGGACGGAGAGCCCCAGGGGAGGACAGGGGGTCCCAGGGGAGGACGCGGGGCCCCAGGGAGGACAGGGCCCCAGGGAGGACGGGGAGCCCCAGGGAGGACGGGGAGCCCCAGGGAGGACGTGGGCCCCAGGGGAGGATGCAGGGCCCCAGGGAGGATGCGGGGCCCCAGGGAGGACGCGGGGCCCAAGGGAGGACAGGGCCCCAGGGAGGACGGGGAGCCCCAGGGAGGACGGGGAGCCCCAGGGAGGACGCGGGGCCCCCGGGAGGACGCGGGGCCCCAGGGAGGACGCGGGCAGTCTGACGGGGCAGGTCCTGTGCCGGGACCAGCGGCAGGGGCGGTCACACCTCGGGTGGTGGGAGGTGCGCTCACTCAGCAAGCCGGAGTCCCTCTGGCTCGTGCGCTGAGTCTGAAAGATGCTCACACACTTTAAATGGGAGGCTTCGCGCTCAGAGTCTCCTCTGGGAAATGATCACAGACGTGACGCCGTGGTCGTCACCCCGGGCCCGATGGGAAACGGCCCGAATGCCCGTCAGCAGAGTGCCTGGACACCACTTCCCACCCGTGCGGGGAGGCAGGCCCTGCCGGGACGAGATGCGCAGCCATGCTGTGAACACCAGTCACGGCGGAAGTGCCGGTGCCCGAGTGACAGAAGAGGACACACACCCACGGACGCAGTGGCCCCACTGCTGCGGCTCGTCCACGGCGGGAAGGGCTGCCCGTGTGTTCACGGCAGCTGTCTTTCACTGGTGGGGTTTCCCGCTTTGTATTTTTCTGTTTTCCCAAGTGCACACGTGTTATTTTTACCATCGTAAAAAGAAACGCGCAGCGTATTTTTAAAAGCTGCGCCGCTCGGCAGCAATCTGTTGGCGCAGATCTGTTGCAGCCCCCGGTGTTGAGTTTCCCAAACTGACCTGTCATCCGAGGTGCTGGGTCTCTGATCCTCATGGCGCCTGCTGTGAGGCCACCACGCCCGGCAGGCGGCGCCGCGCCCAGGCAGAGCCAGCGCCCTGTGACAGCAGCTGGCCACCAGCGTCCCTGTCCTCATTCCCTCCAGCCTGAGCGGGGGCGCGGGAACCCGGCACGTTCTGCCTGCAAACGGGGCACAGAGGGCAACTCAGCACTGCTGTGCCCGCCCCACGGCAGTCCTGGACACGGTGAGAGCTGGGGACATCCGTGAGGGACCCCGCCCCACGGGAGGCTGATGCCCAAGGCCAGGGGGCAAGTCCTGGACCACGTGGGAGGAGCAGGGGTGGGGCCGGGCCAGGGGGGCAAGGGGGAAGGAAGGGTGGACTCGGGGCACCTGGATGGACACCGACCGCGAAGCACCTTGCAGACCTGTGACGCGCTCAGCAGCCGTTGCAGCCGCTGTGTGGCGACCCTCCCCCCGTAGACTGCAGGCGTCGGGGAGCAGGGACCGTGGCTCCCAGCCCACAGGGCTTTCCCCGGCAGGAGCAGGGCCAGCAGCTCTGCTCACCAGGCAGGTCCCGTGTGTCCCGGGCCCTGGACGCCAGGACACCTCAACTCCCTGGAGAAATTACCCAGCCCTGCCAGCAGTGAGGTTCTGTCCCCTGGGGGCCACCTGGGCCCTGGGGTCTGAGAGGCCGTCGAGCCCATCCCTGGTGGGCACTGAGAGGCCGCTGCAGACTCAACACTCCCAGCTGTCCCCGACCCGGCACACAGTCCTGTTAGGGTGGCCTGAGGTAAAGGAAGGAGAGGCCACAGGTAGAGGCCCTGCAGGCCGGGGGCTGAGGGCTGCTCTCCTGTGCACCCCAGGGCCCGGCTCAACCCGCCTGACCCCAGCCAGGGCCTGTGGCTCCAGAGCCCAGCCCAGACCCGGACGTGAGGGCTTCCCCCGCGACCAACAGGAGCCGAGCACAGAGCAGGAGGCCTGGGGCCACAGCCGCTGTATTTTTAGATGACCTCGTTTCTCAGCCCTCCGGGGAAGCTCTGAGGCCAAGGCCACAGTGGGGCTCGGGAAGGGGCCCGGGAATCTCCTGGCCCTGCCCTGGCTTGGGGGCTCCTGAGCTTGGCTGCTCACATCTCTGGGCACCCCCTCTGGCCACCGAAGTCTTCCCTACGGTCACCATGGACCCTGAGCCTTGAAAGGCTTTGCTGACCAACCTGCATCTGTTCGCAATTCCCACTTGACAGAGGGACTAGAGGCCACACAGGTACCAAGACCAACAGTGAGAGTGTCACCTGCCGGGGTCCAGGCCCCGAGCCTCCGAGGCCTGTGGGTCCCCGCTCAGGCTCCACTGCCCCATCTTGCAGATGAGGAAGCAGAGGGGGGGCAGCTGCACCCCGACCCAAGCTCAGCCCAACGCCATGGGGAGGATTGAAGCGAGTCCCAGCCCCTGAGCCTTCCTAGGGTCTGTCCTGGGCCATCGGGTGGGGCCGTCTGCAGACTGGCACCTCCTCCCGCCCCACAGCCCATCCCTCACCGCCTGATGCACACAGAGGCTAAAAATACCCTCTTGTCCCCACGTGGCCACCAGCCGAGCCCCGCCCAGCAGGCCTCCAGTCCCCTCAAGCGGCGGGCAGCCCTGCTCTCAGCCGTGCACTCAGCGGTGGTCCGGGGCGGCTGAGAGGTAGGGCGGGGGGTCTGGAGTGGGTGCGGCTGGAGGGAGGTGGGGCTGGGTGGCGCAGCAGAGAGCTCGGGAGACCCCCACCCGCAGCGGCCAGCCAGGCTCCTGGGGCTCAGCGGAGGTGGCTCCCTCCGTGTCCGGGCCGGGGAGGCTGGGTGCCCCTTGGACAGCAGCCAGGGCCACAGCAGCCGGTCGGCAGCCAGAGCCAGGCCTCGGGCGCTCGCTTCCTCGCTCCCGGCCTGGGCAGGCCCTGGGGTGAGGCTTTAGGACCCTCTGGACCCCACCCCCCGCCCCTTGCTGGGACTGCAGGGCGGCAGGTGGCAGGGGGCACCCCTGGGACCCCTCGGGACGGTGCCTGCGCCTGCCGGCCGGGTCGCCACCACGGGGCAGCTGGCCAAGGGCGCACAACAATGGCCGGAATGCGAGGCCCGTGGCAGTGGCCCAGGGACGGCCCCCTCGCCACGCAGGCTCTGCGAGTCGGCCGGGGTGCTGGGGCGTTGGGAGGCTGTCCAGGCTGTCCAGGCCCTACCGGGCTCCTCGGGCGGGAGGGAGACGGCCCCCACCCGCACCTGCGTCCGGCTGCTCAGCCAGGTCTGCAGCTCCCCGGCCTCCCCCAAGCTCTGTGCCTTTCACCCCGCTGACTTCTCGGGCGTCCGTCCGTTGCCCACGCGGCCCCGCGCGGCGCCCCCTGGTGGAGAACCGCCTCCCTGCTCCGCAGCCCTGGCGGCCGGAGTGGCTCGGACTACCAGCGCCTTTGTGCAGGCCTTACCTTGCTGTGGCTCGGTGGTCTCCCCGAGAAAAACCAGAAGTACGCGAATAGACACGCGCATATTCACGTAATCCCAGAGGTGGGTTTGCTGATTCGGACGACACGGACGCCGAGACGCGAAATCAGCCTCCAGAAGGCCTCCTTCCGCTGTCCGTGTTCAGCACCTACACCAGCCAGGCGTGACGCGGGCCCCGAGCCTGGGCCCCGAGCCTGGCTCCGAGTCCAGCCCAGCTCCACCACTTCCCAGCCCATGTCCGATTTGGGGCACGTGACACATGAGCCCGCTGTGCCTCAGTTTCCCCAACTGTAAAGGGGGCATTGGTTGCACCCACCTGCCGGGACCGTTGTGAGGCTACGTGATTAACCCAGACCCAGGCTTGGCGCGGCCCGGCGCGTGGGGCGCCGTGGGAGTAAGAGCTGCCGTGCGGAGGGCGGTGCCTGGAGCCAGGCCCGGCAGACAGACAGCACTGGCGGGCGGGAAGCCGCCCGAACGCTCCCAACGCCCCCCAGCAGTGTTGGATCCAGGACAGAGGCCGCCTCTTGGGCGTCTGGGTGCCCAGGGGCTCACGCACCGGGGTCTGCCGTGGCAGGGCTCTGTTGCCGGCCCCGTCCTGCCCTAATTGCCGGGCTGTGGGTGGGTCTCGGCCCCCGAGGGAAGCACACCGGCACCTCCGCGCCGGGCTCCAGGGAGACGGTGGGGAAGGGAATCGCGCGCTGTCGGTGCTTGGCCGCGCCTGCGCCGGGAAGGGGAGGGCCAACCGGCAGGTGGTGGGACGGCTCCAGCTCGGTCCTGCCTGGGCGGCTGAGCCCCTGCCCCTCACCCAGCCCGCTCTCTTCTCTCCCCAGGCGCTCCGCGGCTCCAGGCACTTGTCCCGTGAGCGGGTGGGGGGCCGGGCGCCCTCGAGGCACGGGCACCATGGTGCGCCACGTGGACGACCTGGACTTCCACCTGCCCTCGCACGCCCAGGACATGCTGGACGGCCTGCAGAGGCTGCGCTCGCAGCGCAAGCTGGCCGACGTCACGCTGCTAGTGGGCGGCCGGGAGCTGCCCTGCCACCGCGGCCTCCTGGCCCTGAGCAGCCCCTACTTCCACGCCATGTTCACGGGCAGCTTTGCCGAGAGCTTCTCCGCGCGCGTGGAGCTGCGGGACGTGGAGCCGGCCGTGGTGGGGCAGCTGGTGGACTTCGTGTACACGGGCCGGCTGACCGTCACCCAGAGCAACGTGGAGGCACTGACGCGCACGGCCGCGCGCCTCCACTTCCCCGCCGTGCAGAAGGTCTGCGGCCGTTACCTGCAGCAGCAGCTGGACGCCGCCAACTGCCTGGGCATCTGCGAGTTCGGGGAGCAGCAGGGCCTGCCGGGCGTGGCTGCCAAGGCCTGGGCCTTCCTGCGGGGGAACTTCGAGGCCGTGGCACGTGAGGACGAGTTCCTGCAGCTGCCCCGAGACCGGCTGGCCACCTGTCTGGCCAGCGACCTGCTGCAGGTGCAGCCGGAGCAGAGCCGGCTCGAGGCCCTGCTGCGCTGGGTGCGCCATGACCCGCCGGCCCGGGCCACCCACCTGCCCGAGCTGCTGGGCCTGGTGCGCCTGGACGCCGTGCCCGGGCCCTGCGTGCAGGAGCTGCTGGCCACAGAGCCGCTGATCCAGGAGTCGCAGGCCTGCCGGGCGGCCCTGGCCCAGAGCCACGGTGCGGTGAGTGAGGGGCCGGGGGCTCCCATCCCTGGGGAGCAGGCGGAAGGGCCCACAGACCCCGCCTGCCTTGGGAGGGAGGGTAAGGGCGGGAGTCCCAAGGTCCCCTAACCTTGTGACGCTCCCGGTGAGGGTGTCGCCATTCACCCCACGAGTGCAGAGCGCCCTGTGTGTGCCACACCTGGGTGTGAGGGGAGGGGAACCCAGAACTGGTAAGATCCGAACCCTGTCCTGGAAAAGCCCGCAGCCCCGCGAGGACAAACGAGAAACAGACCTAAGGCCGTGTGGAAGGGCCGGGCTTGGCGGCACCTGCGCAGGTGCTGGGGGCATCATCGGAGGGGCGGGCAGTGGGGGAGGACTCTCTGGAGGAGGCAGCATCTGAGCTGGGCCCAGAGGAGGGGTAGGAGCTCGGGGGAAGCAAGGAGGCACAGACAGGCATGGCAGCCCGCCGCCACCTGCCCCTGAGGAAGCCATGTAGGCATTTGGGGTGCACGTCCTGCTGTGCAGCTGGCAGGCCTGGCGGGCAGGCGGGTCGTGGGGAGCGACAGGCCCGGTGTTGCGAAGACAAGGAGCTGTCGCGATGGCCGGCTGCCGGCACCTGCTTGGAGGCCTCGCTCCAGGGGCTCCTTTGGAGCCAGGTCTGGGGACGAGGACGTGATTCAGGGTGGGGGTGGAGTGCGGGGTGGGCAGAATCCAGGCCTCGCCCCGGCAGTCACGACGGGCCCGGCCTCCCGCGGGCGCTGGCGGGGGTCATCTTGTAATTGAGAGGCCCGGGCATCCCATAGGAGGGGCCAGGGTGGCGGCGGGGACCCCAGGGTCCTGGGACGCTGGGCAGTGGTGACTCACTGACCATCCCACGTGCAGCATTCCCGTGTTCCCGCCAGGCCAGGCCGTCCTGGCTCGGCTGCTGCAGGCGGGCCAGGGGCAGGGGAGGCTTTTTGGGGCGCTGGCGGCCAGCCACCAAGCAGTGCGCAGGCACAGGTGCACGCACACACCTGCACGCGCTCACACATGCTGCAGCCCTGCCAGCCCACTCGTGGGCACCAGCACAGAGGGACGCTCGTGGGACTCGGGCGCAGGGAGCCCCGCCCGGCTGCCCTGACCCCGCCCGGGCCCGCAGGTGCGGCCAGCCCTCCCGCAGAAGCTGGAGGAGGTCCTGGTGGTGGTGGGCGGGCGGGCGCTGGAGGAGGACGAGGGGGGCGAGGAGCCCAGCGCCCACCCCGGGAACTTCGCCTTCTACAACACCAAGGCCAGTGAGTACCCTGCCCGCGCCCAGTACCCTGAGCCGCTGCGCCTGTCGCAGGCGGCTCGAGTGAGGGAGCGCGGGGGAGCGGCCCAGGTCCCCTGTCCATCCGGGATTGGCGGGGCTCGCTGGGGGGCTGCAGAGAGGCGTGGGGGCCACTGCGGCGGGCGGGGACCGTGCTGGGGACACTGCAGTCCCCTCTCCCCCACTGAGGTCTTTCCAGGTCCCAGGCTGCTGTAGGGCGCTGCTGCCCAGACTACACCGCCCTGCACACGTGAAGGGGAACCAAGGCCTGCAGGGGAGGGTGGGGGGCGGAGGGGGCGCGGCAGCCCCGGGGGAGAGCTCAGGTTGCGGGTCAGGACAAACGGGGTTCCTGTTCCAGCCCTTGAGCAGTCACTTCCCCTCTCAGAGGCTCAGTTTCCTCATCTGTGCAAGGGGCTCAGGCCCCTCCTCGCAAGGCCGTGCCGTGAGGAGGCCCTCCCATCGCGGAGGCCGTGGCCGCCGAGGGACGGAGGGAGGAGCGGGGCCTCCGGGAGGGCCGCCTACTTCAGGAAGGGTCAGCTGGCGCCCTGGGGCACCGGCAGGCCGCCAGCCGTCTCCATGGCGTCAGCGGCTGGCGGGCTCCAGAAAGCCGGGCCGGCTGTCCCAGTCAGGGGCTGACGTCAGGAAGGAGCAGCTGTCCCTCAGACCTGGCTGGGGGGGGCGCAGGGTGGGGGACTCTGGCAGGAAGGGGTTGCCAGGCTGTGGGCGGTCCCCACCCCGGGGTGACAGAGCCATGAGTCAGGGGACACTGAGTCCCTGACCACAGTGCCAGGCGCTGCTCCCAGGGAGGCCCGGCACTCCACATGTCCCCAAAACTGTGGCAAACTGTCCTCCCAGGGGACACCCCCAAGTCCTGGGTCTCTCCCTCAAACACCCCAAATGTGTCCACGTCTAGGACTTTTTAACATTTATTGTCTCGTTTTGACTTTTCCAAAGCATTTTCTCATGCCTTGCCTCAGTTTACCCCACGTAGCTCCATGAGGCAGGTGTGACCCCGCCCCTCACGAGAGCAGGGACACTAACCCTAACAGCCGCCCCCGAGGAGCAGGGACTGTGTGCCAGACACGTGTTACCTCGGGAAGTCCCCACACCTGCCCAGAATTACCCCCATTGCACAGATGAGGAAACTGAGGCTGGGGCTTGTCCAAGGCCACACAGCTGGTGCACAAGAGCCCGGATGTGGACCCCTCGGTGCCTGCCACAAGGCCTGTGTCTGATCCCCACGCCTGCCTGGCTGCCACGGGCAGCTCAGGATGAACGAGTGAATGAATGCATGAGGAATGAGTGAAGGAGTGATGTTTGTGTTATAGCCCACTAGTGACACCTGCAGACCAGGCCACTTAACCTGTGCCCCGTCTGATGGGGAGGCCAGACCCAGGGGCTGAAGGTCCATTTGGGGTCAGGGGCCAACTGCAAGGTCAGGTGAGACCCCAGCCCCCAAGGCACCCTGGGTACAGGTCCGGGTGCCAGGCTCTGAGGGGTGGTGTGGGCGGTGGGGCCCACAGGGGGACCAAGACCCCAGGGCCTGCTCGGGCCCCACCCACCAGGTATCCCCCCACCTCTGCAGCCCCCGGGCCCTGCCCCCGCCTTTCCGCCAGCGAGGGGGCCGTTCTGCACCAAGTGCGCGGAGGAGGCACCCGGGAGGCCGGGCGGGCAGGCGGGCCCCAGCATGGAGCCAGGCCCCTGACCCCTCTGCCTCTCCTGCCAGAGAAGTGGATGGCGCTCCCGGACTTCCCCGACTACCACAAGTGGGGCTTCTCCCTGGCGGCCCTGAACAACGACATCTACGTCACAGGTGGGCAGGGCGGGCCCTTCCCGAGACGCCGTGCCCGCAGGCACCCGGCCCAGTGCAGCCCAAGCGCGGCCAGTCCCCACTCGGCGGGATCCCTGACGCCCTAGTCAAGGCTCTTCCAGACCTTTCCATGCAGGCGACGAGGAAATGTAAAAGCCACGGGTCCACGTGTGCTGGAAGCCGTTCCGTGGCCACTGCCCGGCGTGGACCCAGGGCCCGCCCTGCTGTGCGCCTGCAGCCAGGGCCCCCAGAGGGACTGTGCTGGGGGTCGCTCTGCGCTTCTGTGTCCGAGATTTGGCTGGGGGAGAGCTTCCCTGATGGGGGTCTGAAACCGCCGACCTTGTCCCCCTTGTTTGTGGGGGAGGGGACCTGCCCAAGGTCACACAGCCAGACTGTGCCACCCATAGGGGTCCCACCCTGGCTCACGGGTTCGTGCTCACTGCCGGGCATGGGAGGGAGGGGCCCAGCGCTGGCACCCGGCCCACCGGCCTGGAGACCGAGCGTGCCAGCACCGTGCGGACACGGCCTCTTCTGGCAGGCGGCTCCCGGGGCACCAAGACGGACACCTGGTCGACCACCCAGGCCTGGTGCTTCCCGCTGAAGGAGGCCGCCTGGAGGCCCGTGGCGCCCATGCTGAAGGCGCGCACCAACCACGCCAGCGCCGCGCTCAACGGGGAGATCTATGCCATTGGCGGTGAGCGGCCCTCCCCACGCCTACCGGTGGGGGGGCACGGGGGGAGGGGCCACAGGGGCGTGGCTCTTGAGCTCCCCGTCTGGGGAGGGTGAGCAAGCCCCCAGGGCTCCTGGCCGGGCGGCATCAGGACCCACAGCCTGGGCGTCCTCCAGGCCAGCTCTCCTGATGCACCCTGGGGACAGAGACACAGGAGGAGCCCTGGTGGGAGCTGTGGGGGCGGGGACCCTGTCCCAGCACCCGGGCTCAGCCCTGCGCTCCGGCTCACCGCCGGCTGCTGTGACGAGGGGCCCACGGTCGCCCCTTTGCTGCTGCTGCGTCCCTGCCACCCCCAGCCTGAGCGTGGGGCTGCCCTGTCCCCTGGCACCCCAGAACCGCAGCAAGGAGTCGCCCAGGGACCTCACCGATGAGAGCAATATTGAAAATGAGATGCATGTGGCCCCAAAGCTCTGTCAGTGACAGATGGCCGAGAGGCCGCTCCTCATGCCCAGCAGTCCCTGAGGCCCTGTCTTCTCAGTGGCTGCCCTGTCCCCCACCAGAGAGCAGAAAGCACACGCAGTTCCTGCCCAGGCCATTCTGAGGTCCCCAGGTTGTCACAGAGGCCAAGGCCGGGGGCCCGGAGAGCAGGGTGTCACCTCCCTCCCCGTGACGGCCCCGTCACTATCCCATCCAGACTCTTTCGGGGACTGCTAGGGGACTGCCTACAGCTCCAGGGGCTGACATCGTGCCACCCGCCCCTCCCAGGACTGACTCCCCCATTCCAGTTCAAAACTCGCGGGAGGGGACCCCAGCCTGTGAGGGGCCTGGGCCGCACCTTCCCCATGCCAGGCCCGTCTCTCCCTCCGCAGTGGGCGTCCCGGGTCCACGCGCCCATCCCCCACCTCTGCTTGGCGGTGGTCCTGGGCAGGTTCCCTCGCCCCCTAGACCTCAGTGTCCCTGTCTGTGAAATGGGGACGACTCCCGAGGCCGTGCCCCCCTGCGCTTGCCCGGGGTCCCTGCTGCCTTACGAAGCCCTGGACCCCGAGTTTCCAGGAACCCCCCCCCATCCCCGCCCCGCGCAGGCACCACTCTGGACGTGGTGGAGGTCGAGAGCTACGACCCCTACACGGACAGCTGGACGCCGGTCAGCCCCGCCCTCAAGTACGTGAGCAACTTCTCGGCGGCGGGCTGCCGGGGCCGGCTCTACCTGGTGGGCTCCAGCGCCTGCAAGTACAACGCCCTGGCCCTGCAGTGCTACAGCCCGGTCGTAGGTGAGCCGGCCACCTCGAGGGGGGCAGGGGGCAAAGGACAGGTGAGCACGGGCCCCGCAAAGGCTACGGTCCAGCCTAGCGGCAGGCTGCCCATCCGCCCCGCCCGGCCCCTGTGCCACAGCCTGGGGGCCCGCTGGGGTGCAGGTCGCCCAGGGGCCCAGTGACCAGGAGGCCCAGGGCCCGGCTGCTTCGTCCACCGGAGTGGCCTCGTGGGCCAGGAGCAGTGGCCTCGACCGCCAAGGCCGGTGGCTGAGCTCGGCCTCTGGACTCCGTGCCTCTCCGCGCTCAGCGGCCCCAGCCCTGGTCCCCGACCTGTTCCACACCCTGGCCGGCGGAGACGCTGGCAGGGCCCGTTCTACAGTGGGGCTTGGGGACCCCACGAGAGACTGACCAGGCCTGGGGTCTGCGTGGGGCCCAAGGGGCCCCCTGGTTGTCAGACCTGGGGTGGGGGTGGGGAGGGAGGAGGCCCAGACGCTCCAGACTGTCCCCTTGGGGAGTGGGGGGGCCACCAGGCCAAAACCCCCTTCAGAGGGCGAGATTCCCGAGGGACCCCGCCCCTCCGCAGGCCCCTCCCTGTGGTGCAGCCGTGGGGGAGGGGCTGTCCCTCCTCCCCCAGAAGCAGAGAGAGGCCAGGAGGGGGCTGGGGGGCGGGGGGGGGGGCACTCAGCCCCAGCCCCGAGGGCTCACTCCCATTTTACAGACCAGTTCACTGAGGCTCAGAGGGGCACCTGGGTGCCCTGGGTCCCTCAACGGGCGAGCACACCCTGGGGCCCCTGGTGAAGGTGGGCCCGGGCCCGTGTCCCCGCAGACGCGTGGAGCGTGATCGCCTCGCCCTTCCTGCCCAAGTACCTGTCCTCGCCGCGCTGCGCCGCGCTGCACGGGGCGCTCTACCTCATCGGCGACAACACCAAGAAGGTCTACGTGTACGACCCCGGGGCCAACCTGTGGCAGAAGGTGGGCCCCTCCCCCGCCTCCCAGCGCCCCGGGGCCCGCAGGGCAGAGAGCAGGCGGGAACACCCAGAGCCCACAGGGCCCGCAGGGCCCGCAGGGAAGGCCGCCCTGGCCTTCTCCCCAGAACACGGGTGACGCAGTGCCCTGGCCCGCCCCCTGAGAGTGGCGGAGATGATGGCGGTGGGAGGAGGAGGCCCACGGGCCGCTGGGCACCACCCGTGCCCTGTCCCCTGCACACCCATCCTCTGTCCTTCCCAGGGAGCAAATCCAGGCTCAGCAGGTGCTTCAGGGCTCGAGGAGGAGGCCACCGTCCTCCGGCCCGGGGCGGGCACACGGGGGTCCTGAGCCGGCGAGGCAGGGGCAGCCAGCGTCTGGGCTCCCGCTGCCCCAGCCCGTGCCCCTCCCGGGAGGGAGACGGGGCCCGGCTCCCAGCCGGGTGCCCGGGGCCTGCACCTGCCTCGAGATCCGCAGTCCCCGGAGCTGAGAGGTGGCACCCTTCCTGCAGCACCCTGGCAGGCTGTGCCGGCCGACCGGGTGGCAGCAGGGCCCACAGCTGTCCCCTGGCGTCAGCACTCAGCTGAGCCGAGGCCCCATTACCGCGGCGAGACAGGTGCAGCGTGGCCCCGCCAGGCCAGCTCCTCGGGGGCCCTCCCAGCTGGGCCACAGCCCGGCCCTTACTGTCTTCCCCTGGAGGCCATGCAGGCCCCCATCCCCCCAGGCTCTTCCCAAAGTCCCCAGGTCTCTCTCCAGCCCTGGAAACCTGCTGGCCCTGACCCCGCAGCCCCTCTCCAGGGCCCTTCCAAGGCCATGGGCCGGGCGAGGGTGGGCTTGGCCCCCGGTGTCTGTCGGGCCGAGCCGCACCTGTCTCCCCCAAGAGCTGCCATGACGCTGGGAGGCGGCTCCAGGTCAGGCCTCGGGCCCCTCTCGCTCGGGGGCTGAAACAGCATCGCTGGGACGGGCTGGAGAGGGGCCGTGGGAGGAACCCGCGGGCCAGGGCAAGCTCCGCGGTCAGTGCGCTGGTGTCCCACGTAGCACAGGGCCGGGCGTTGGCCGTCCTCTCTGCCTGTCCCCCCCACCAAGGGCGCCCCCCCACCCCTGCCTTCTGGCCACCCCGTGGCACTGACCGCTGGCCGTCCACAGGTGCAGTCCCTGCACAGCCTGCATGAGAACGGCGCGCTGGTGCCTCTGGGGGACGCGCTGTACGTGACCGGCGGCCGCTGGCAGGGCATGGACGGCGACTACCACGTGGAGATGGAGGCCTACGACGCCGTGCGGGACACCTGGACGCGCCACGGCGCCCTGCCTCGCCTCTGGCTCTACCACGGCGCTTCCGCCGTCTTCCTGGAGGTCTCCAAGTGGACCCAGCCCTTCCACCCCGCCCAGGAGCACTAAGCCGGGCGCTCCCGGTGGACGGGTCCCGTGGCAGCTCCCCGTCACCCCCTGGAACAGCCCACTTTTCTTCTGCCTGTCCGTTCACACGGAGCTGCCGTCCCCTCCAGGGCTCAGGCCGGGCTCGGGCCACCGGGTCGGCAGTTGGCACAGCCCAGGCACATGGCCTTGGTCTCTGGAGCTGTCAGACCGAGCTCTGAGCTGAGCAGCCACGAGGCCGGGGCGCTGGGCACCTGCATAATGGGGACTAGAAGCTCTGCCGCACTCGGGCTGCCAGGACCGCAGAGAAAGGCACCGAGGGCCTGGGACAGCGGGGCAGCAGCTGGAGCTCTCCCAGCCTCAGCTGCTCCTGCCTCTGGGCCTGGCCGGAGGCTTCCGGAGCAGTGGCACACATGCAGGTTGACCCCGGAGTGGCCCAGGAAGCTGTGGAGACGGAAGGGCCCTGGGGCAGGGTCAGCACCGGGCCACCTCGGTGCCACCGCAGCGGCAGCCTCTGCTCCGGTGCTGGCTGGTGGGCTCCGGGCGCTGTCTCTCTCACCGTGACGAGGACCCACCTTTGAAACCAAGGACCGTCTGTGGGTGCTGAGTGCCGTGTCTCTGTTGCCACAGGGCCACCAGTCAGGAGTCGGGTCCAGCCCAGCGCCAGCCCGGCACCGACCCTTGGAGGCCATGGGCAGCTCCTGTCCCCCTGCGGATCCGGGCTCCTCTCCGGGGCCACCCTCCCCGGGCGTCCCTGGGCTCTGAGGACAGGTGTCCCCGGTCCCTCCCGCTTCTGTAGCCCTGACCCGCTTTGCGCCCAGACCTGCCTTCTCAGAACCCTTCCTATGGGACAGTCGAGTGACTCCCAGGGCCCAGGGAGGGGCCCCGAAGGAGCCAGGGCCCACCCTGCGGGTTGGGGAAGCAAGGTGAGGGTTCCTGGGATCTTCGACTGTTTCCACATGGAAATCTCCCAGAATGTTTTCTGGACAGTTATCGAAGGAGGCCAAAGGGCTGTTTAAAAATGAAGACTTGATATAAACCATTTTTGCAAAAATATTTTAAAATAAATAAAAATAAAAACAAAGACTCAAAATGTCAAAACAGGCTTATTTTGATCACAAACGGGCGGCCGAAAGGGTGGCATGCGAGAGTCAGGCTGCCCTCTGCTCCCGAACGCCTGGGAGGTGGGGGGCAAGGACCCTGGCAGGGCGGGGCGGGGGCAGGACACCTGCCACTCTCAGGCTCTGGGGCACCAAGCCTCACCTGGCTGACCACAGAGCTGCCCTGTTCAGGGGCCCTGGAGAAAGTGGCAGTTGGGTAACTGAGAACAATTAAGGTAAAGGGCCGTCGCCAAGCGTGGGCAGGAGCAGGGGGTCCCCACAGCAGCGGGAGTGGGGACCCGTCGCACCCCTCTGTCTCCGGCATGGGAAGGGCCAGAGGCAGGCTCCGGGCTCCAGAGCCCCGCACAGAGGGCTGGCAAGAGCCAGGGCCTTGGGTGTGGGATGCTGCCTCTGCCACCTGGGACCCCGCCGGGAGGAAGGGCCAGAACGGGACCCCCCTCACTCTCCTTCCTGCCCCCCGCCTCCCGCTAGCGCCCCTGCTGGCCAAGCCCACCAGAATCCAGGAGGCAGCGACAGGCCCAAGTGGGGCAGACGGCAGGCAGGGAAGGCGGCCAAGCACAGGACACAGGTGGAAGGCTCCGGTGCACAAATCAAACACTCGGGGCTTCCCACGGGGAAGGGCAGTAACATGCTCACCCACCAAGGAACGTCTCAGGGCAGCCGAGGTGTCCTCTTCCATCGTCAAAGTCCCCAGGATGGCAAGCACCCCTTAGCAGGTTTGGGGCTAACGTGGGCTTCTGGAAAGGGAACGGCTAGCCCAGGAACAAGTGCAAATGCCCCCACACTCTCAGGCCCACGGGCCGTGGGGGATGAGACCCACCCCCAGCCCGGCGTGCTCACGTGCACTGAGCGGGTGCGTGTTGCCCCTCCCACGGAGGATGCGGGGGACGCCGAGGCCCCGCGGAGACCCCAGCCTGCAGGGAGCACTCGGTGCCCTCGGGAGCCAGGCCCAGCCCTCTTTGCTTCCCAGGGCCGCCGGGGGCCAACGGATGCTTCAGCCACTTCCGCTGGGCTTGCGTGTTCCAGCATCTTCCAGAAGGGACACTTTATTATTATCATGCATCTTCCCTGTTCCAGGCAGGGACGGTGACTGCTGGAATCAGGCTGCCGTCATCCTCACATAGCTCCGACTAAAGGGACCGGGTCACCTGGCAGTTCCCTGCAGTCAGGTCAGACCACTACTGCAGTTGGTGGTCAACCAGTTGACCGAGCTGGGAAGACGTGCACTGACCTGGAATCTGCCAGTGACTATGGGGAGGGAGGGCGCAGCCCCATTCGAGGGACGGCTGTCTGCTCCGGCCCTGCGTCCTTCATCCTTGATCCCCACCGCCCAGGGCAGTGCCGGCCGCTCAGCCTCCAGCGTGGCTTCTGCCGGAGTGTGTGCCCCGGCTCCCCCGGCCTCCCGGGACCAAGTTCACAGCGAGGTAGCCAAGCATGAAGCTGGTGAATTGAAGAATATCGTAGACTGTGATGAGAGTCTTCACAGGGGAAGTAGTTCCTGTTTGGAACGGACACCTCCAGGAGCCACCGTGACTTCCTCAAAGCTAACAGACTGCCCAGGGTTTGCAGGTTCAGGGGCTGGGCCTATTTTGATCACAGTCACATTTAAGAATGTGATTCTGGACAGGCAAGGTGGCTCCCGCCTATTATCCCAGCACTCTGGGAGGCCGAGGCAAGTGGATCCCACAAGGTCAGGAGTTCGAAACCAGCCTGAGCAAGAGCGAGACCCCATCTCTACTAAAAATAGAAAGAAATTAATTGGCCAATTAAAAAATATATATAGAAAAAATTAGCCAGGCATGGTGGCGCATGCCTGCAGTCGCAGCTACTCGGGAGGCTGAGGCAGGAGGATCGCTTGAGCCCGGGAGTTTGAGGTTGCTGTGAGCTAGGCTGACGCCACGGCACTCACTCTAGCCTGGGCAACAGAGTGAGACTCTGTCTCAAAAAACCAACATGTGATTCTTAGCAAAACAGTGAACAATACCAGTATCCACCTTCTTGCTTTAAATTGAGAGGAGAGTGAAAGACAATTTCTTTTTAATTAACATATTGGAACCACAGAGACAATCAGCAGAAAATCCCCCGAGAGACCCTCTGGATAGGAGTGAGGAAGAGCCCCGCTCCCCCCCGTTAGGTCTGAGACCCCTCCCACCCTGCCCAGGAACTGAGACACGTCCTCTGAGCTGAACTGAATCTGTGGGTTCCTCAGAGCTCTGACCTCCGGTTGTGCGGGCCAGACCCGGACATGGTTGTGTTTGCTGGCTCCACAATGACCTTGGGCCAATCCCCAAGATCCGGGCCTCAGTTTGCTCATCTGTACAGTGGGGGTAATCACATGATTTGAGAATGGGATGACTCTGTGGGCCTAGAAGGCTCTGGTAAACAGCAAAGGCCGTCTGCAAGTCTGTCTGGAGGCCACACAGCAAGCCGGCCTCAGGCTCCCACTGTTTTCGGGGCGAAAGGAGCTTTTATTCCCATGACTTCATCGGCAAAGGCCCTTCCTTTGGAGGAAGAGAGAGGAGAGGGAACAGCTTGACTGCGTCAGGCTGCTGGGAAGCCGGCAGAGGCCGTGACAGGAGGCCCCAAGAATGAGGATTAGATTTCAGCCAGGCCCGAAGGCGCATGGGGGAGGCGCCCCGCGGGCTGTGGCCACTGTGGCCACTCGTGCGTGCGTCCACCCTGGGGTCCACCCCTCGCCCCGGAGGCCAGTCTACTGGCAGGGAGGGGCGCCCCTTGATCTACAGGATTCTTTGCTGGCTCCACCCTCCTCTGTGTGGCAGCTGTTTTGAAATGTCCCCCAGAAACACACGGGGCCCCACCTGAAGGCCGCAGCCCTAGGAGCTCTCGGACCCCTGGCCAGGCCATGTCCTCACCCGGGATCGTGTTACAGGAGGCCGCGCAGGCACCAGAACCAATCTGATTTGGGCCCTCCGGCAGGGCCCATGACATCACCAGGACAGTTCACTGTTTGGGAAAATAACTTTTTCACATGGCAACGGCTCCCGTGCCCAGCGCCGGCCTCGCGGGCTGGGCCCCCACTGCGGAGTGGAATGATGTCACAAGAACATCTTAAGGATCATGTCCCCCAAATCGGGGCACCTCATCCCCCACGGCCCTGGAACGCCGTCCGCCTTGAGCCACGGCTGCAGGCTGGGCGTCCCGCACCTGTGGGCCACATATTCCCTGTAGGGAACAGACAGGGCTGTGTCCTCTTCAGTAACCTTCAAACTCATCCCGTAGCTCACGTTCCACACCTGCGGCAATGGGCGAGCCCTGACGGGCCAGCGGGCCAGGGGGCCTGCCTCCAGCCCCACACCCCATCTGTCTGTGTGCTGTGTGTCCCTGTGTGAGGGCCGGCCAGGCCAGGCAGGTGGACCACTGCACGAATGGCCAGAAAAGGCAGGTGACACAGCGAGCTGGAGTCTGAGATCAACGCTGGCCGGGCAAGGGCACCCCTGCACGGGTCTGGTACTTCCCTTCCGTTCTTGGTGCCCCGCCCTGTTACGCAGGACGGGTCAGGCCTCCTCCCTGCAGGCCGCTCTCCTCACAAGAGGCGAGAAGAATCCTCAGTGGGGGGGTGGTGGGGGGAGCCCCTGGAAGGTGCATTTCCAGCGGGGCCTTCTCCAGCCCTCCCACAAAACGCTGGCGCAGGTGCAGGTGCCTCAGGGGCTGGGGCGAGAGAGCCAGTAGACAGCCACTCCGGATGTAACACACAAAGCAGCCCCGGGCAGGTGAGGAGGCGGCTTTCCTCCGGGAGGGGCCCAGGTGCCGCCTTCTCTGCTCCAGGCGGGCTCCCCTCTGCGCCCCACACCACGGGCAGGACAGGGGTCCGTTCTCCCAGCCTGGCCCTCGGTAGCCCCCAGCAGCCCCGGGTCGCAGATTCGCTCGGCTCCCTGCGCCCCCTGGGTGCCGGCAAGTGCGCGGAGGCGAAGGAACAGGGCGCGCCTGCGGGGGGGAGAAGGCGCCTGAAAGCGGCGGTTCCCGCCCCGGAAAGGGGCTCCGAGGAGGGGCCCTGAAGTCTCCCTGCTCTGCCGGTGTCTCAGGGGCCCAGACCGGGTCCCGGCAGAGGACACGAGGGACAGAGGGAGGAAAAGGGATGCCCAGAGCCGGGGGAGGTAGGCGCCCTGGCTCCCCGCGGAGGAACGGCGGCGGGGTTACTAAGACAGAGGCCTTGGACTGTCTGTTCCACCAAGAAGCGGTGCATGCCTCAGGTGAGGATGCGGCAGTTACCCCGACTTCATTACTGCACGTGGTGCGCCTGTGTCAAACGTCACACGTACCCTGTGTATATACAACTATTATGCACCCACAATAATGACAATTTTTTTTAAAAAAGCAGTCGAGAGGTCCGAGGGTCCAGGGCCGGGAACAGGGGCGCCCCGCTCCCCGCGAAGCAGAAACGCTGGACAGCGCCCAGAGAGGGACCTCAGAAGCCGGACTCGATGGAGACGGCCCAGCGGGGCGCCCCTCCTTCCTCGTGCACCCCTCCCGCCCCGCGCTGCTCTGTCTGGCACCCCTCCCGTCCCTCCCTGCGAATCCCCTCCTTACCCTCTCCACCCCCGCCCTCTGTCCCGCACCCCCCCTTCCCGCCCACTCTACGCCTCCCCACCCATCCCCATCCCACCCCACTGCGCTGCTCTGTCCCGAACCCTCCCTCCACCCGCTAACCCTCCCCACCCGCCCCCGCCCCGCGCTCTCTTCCCGAACCCCCTCCTCCACCCCGCTAACCCCCTCCACCCCCGCCCGCCGCGCTGCTCTGTCCCGCACCCTCCCTCCACCCCGCTAACCCCCTCCCCCACCCCGGCCCCGCCCCGCGCTGCTCTGTCCCGCACCCCTCCCTCCACCCCCGCTAACCCCTCCCACCCCGGCCCCGCCCCGCGCTGCTCTGCCCGCACCCTCCCTCCACCCCCGCTAACCCCCTCCCACCCCGCCCCGCCCGGCTGCTCTGTCCCGCACCCCCTCCCCTCCCCCACTAACCCTCCCCACCCCGCGTCCCCGCCCGCGCTGCTCTGTCCCGCACCCTCTCACCCCGCTAACCCTCCCCACCCGCCCCGCCCGCGCTGCTCTGTCCCGCACCCTCCTCCACCCCACTAACCCTCCCCACCCGCTCCCCGCCCCGCGCTGCTCTGTCCCGACCCTCCCTCCACCCCTAACCCCCTCCCACCCCCGCCCCGCGCTGCTTCTGCCCCGCACCCCCCTCCTCCTCGCGCCTGCGCATGCCACTCCCGCCTCCATCCCAGTCCCCGCGCTGTCCCGCACCCGCTGCAGCGCGCGCGGGAGCCGGGAGGGGGCGCGGCGGGGGCCGGCCGGCGGGGGATTCGAGCGCGTTATAAGGCGCGCACCGGGGACTCGCTCCGGAGACACCGCGCCCGGACCCGCCGCCCGCATGGCCTCGGCCCGCCGCCCCGCCGGAGCCCGCCTGCTGCTCGTCTACGCGGGCCTGCTGGCCGCCGCCGCGGGCCTCGGCTCCTCGGAGCCCGCCGCGCCCCAGGGGAGCCGCGCCGGGGAGGAGCCGCCGCCCGGGAACGAGCTGCCCGCGGGCCCCGGGGAGAGCCGCGCGGGGCCGGCCGCCCGCCCGCAGGTGAGACCCGGCCGCTCCGGGACCGGCCGCGCCTCCCCGGCGTGGGGTGCGGGCCCCGCCCGCGCTCGGTCGGTGCGAGCGCGGCCCGGGCGGGGACGGACCGGCTGACCTGTTCCCTGCGTTCGTCGCAGCCGTCGCTGCAAAGTGTAGCCTTGACCTTGGCTTTTGCGTAGTTCTTTGGCTTAAAGCAAAATTCTACTAGGCCAGCAAAAAAAGGTTGGGAAATAAGTAAAGTTTAAATAAGCTGATTTCATGAAATTGGGACGAACGTGTCTGTAAAAGTGTAAGCAAATTACTGCCCCCCCCAGCCTTTTTGGTCCGGTGCCCGGGGCTGGGGGAATGGCGTGGCTTTTGTGCGGGATCCGTGCCTGTTCCTTCCTTCCCACCCTCCGCAGGCGGCCGTCCGCGTGGGGAGGGTGTGGCCACCGGCCGGGATAGTGAGGCTTTGCTGGCGCTTCAAAGAGGCCCTCCGTTTGGCCAGGCCCTTGGCGAGGGAGGCCACGCTGCCCCTGGAGGGTCATTTGGGTTTCATTTATTCTGAAGGTACAGGCAGAACCGAGGGGAGAGCGTCGCCGGGCCTTAGGCCAGGGGCAGCCCAGAATGCATCCAGGAAAGCAGGGTGAGATGGCAGCCAGCGGGTCCCCCAGGGGCCTCTGTCCCATCCTCACCCCAGCAGCTGCTTCCCACGGCCTGAACCTCGCCCCGCCCCCCGCCCTGCCAGGTAGTCAGCCAAGCCACCCAGGTGGGCAAGGCAGCCAGATGTCAGTGCACAGTCACCAGGAGGCAGAGAGAGGGGGCTCAGGTGGCCTTGGACCTTCTTTGGGGGGCAAGGGGGCACCAGAGGCCCCCCAGGCTCCAAAGCTCCTTTCTGAGGAGCCCTCGTGGCTGGAGACCCAGGCTGGCCAGGGCACCTGCCCAGCACCCACGCACACTGCAGCAGACCCGTCCCACATGGCTCCACCTGCCTCAGCTCGTCCCCAAACCAGCCTGGGGTCTGAGTCCCTCCACAGGCCACGGCTCCAGCCGGGAGGGCCAGGCTAGCCCGCCCTGTGTGCAGAGCCCTCGAGCTGCATGTTGGCACCCAGGACACCGCGAGGCCGGGAAGTGAGATCCCGGGTCCCAACCCACAGCGGGAGGCCACAGTGGCCCCGCAAGGTGTGGGGAGGTGCTGGGCAAGGGGGCCCTGGCGCTCCGGGCCTTTCTCTGTCCAGCCGAGGCTCTTCCCGCACCGAGGCCCCCATCTTCCCCCTGCAACGCCCTGGCCTGTGCATTGGCTGGTCAGCTCCCCAAGCTGGCCGTGGGTCCCCGCAGGGCAGCGACTTGGTGGCCGGGCCAGCCTCTGCTCAAAGCATGGCCAGCTCTAAATCCCAGGTCCCACCGTCAGCCGCTGGGGTTGGCGCCCATGACCGCCTCTAAGCCCTATCGGGCCGGTTTCCGTCCCGGCTGACAGCCTTGCCTGCAGCCCAGACTGCCCACTGCCCAAAGGGCCAAAGGCCTCTCCCTGGAAGTTTCCTCCCAGAACTTTGCTCCGTGTCAGGACCGGTCGGAACGCAGCACGCGCAGGACCATCCTTGCTTGGGTCAGGGCCTGGGAAGCCCAAAGGCCTTGAGCCCTGACGTCTCGCCGGGCAGGACTGCAACCGGAGGCAGCCCTGAGGGCTGGAGTTGCCTCCTTAGAACTCCTGACCCTGGGGCATAGACAGGAGCGTTGATGGTAGCTGGAGTCCCCCATAATCACAGTTGCCTCTTCCTGAGCACCTATGGGTGCTGCAGTGGTAGGATCTTCCCGGGGACTCTGGAGGGCGGTGTGATCATTCGGCTCACCTTGAGGAAGGAAGCTGGGCTGGGCGGCGCCAGGGCCCGCACCTGCTGCAGAGCTCCGCACCCCGTCTTCCTGCGCCTGCGGCGTGGGCCCCCTTCCCAACGAGGGCAAAGTCCAAGCCGTGGTGTGGCCTGTTCCCTAGGAGTCCTCCTTCCTGGGCCATGGAGAGGGGGTGGGAGCTGTGCTGCCTTTGAGGGCACCGCTGGTGACAAGGGCTGGGCCCCAGGGTGCTGAAGCAGTCCCGCACATGATCACCCCCCGCAAAGCGTCCTTCCCGCTTGGCGGGTGCCGGGTGAGACACGCCGGGCCGGCTGTGTTGCAGGAGCCCGTCTCTGAGCAAGTGCATAGTGTCAACCCACAGGACTCCTGGATGCTTTTCATCAGACAGAATGACAAGGGTGTCGATGGCAAGAGAAGGAGCAGGGCCAAGGCCAAGAAGCTGAAGGTGAGCAGGGATCCCACCGCACGTACCCCATGTGAGTGGGGGTCTCCCCGTCCTGGCCCCTTGCACGCACATGCCGACCACTCGCTGCAGCACAGCGCCTTGCACCCCGGCCGGGGGCAGGGAACCCGGGGCCCAGGAGCCCCAGGTTAGGGGCCCAGTCTCAACCGTTAACCCCGAGCCCCTAGACTGCAGGCAGCCCCGATGGCTCCCTCCCTCCTCCTGCCTCTGCGTCCAGCAGTGAGAGGGCCTTGCCCAGCAGCTGCGGCACACACTGGAGGGCCTGCAGGCGACCGCGGTGACAGACCTGCCTGGCTCCCAGTGGGTGTGGGCACTGGGGCCCGGCAGCTGCCAGTCTCCCACTCTCGCTCAGCTTTGGGCTGGCCCTGGTCCTGGTGGCCAACTCCTGCTGTGAGCCCCAAAGAGGTCCCACACTGGGGATCAGACTGGCAGGGGCCACCACCCCTGCCTGCCCCACACCCCCAAGCACGACCCCGTCCTTGTGCTCATGCACTCACTTGGACCAAAGCTTCCACTGAGTTCGAAGCCCCGAGGCGGACCTCAACCTGGAGGTCAGGGCCTCCAGGCCAGCTGGGCGCTCTCCTGCCTGCCTCTGCCTGCCTGAGTGACTGACAGCAGCTTGCAGGGGGGTGCCCACGGTCCCCTGCCTGCCCCCTCGAGGGTCCTCACTGCCCAGATTCCCTTCCAGTTTGGCCTGCCAGGGCCCCCAGGGCCTCCCGGCCCTCAGGGTCCGCCGGGCCCTGTCGTCCTACCGGAGGCTCTGCTGAAGGAGTTCCAGCTGCTGCTGAAAGGTAGGCGTGCGCAGCGACCGGCACAGCGGGGCCAGGGAGGGTGTCCCCAGTGGCCGAGACGGGGCGGGCATGAGGAGGCGTCTCTCTGTGCTGGGCTCAGCCCCTGGCCCGGCCCGTGTCTGCCAAGGGTCAGGGGTGGAGGCAGGAGGATCACAGCGAGGAGGGGAAGGTGGGCTTAGCCCCATGCCCCACCCGGGACTCAGGTGGGCCCAGCAAAAGCCGGGCGACCAGACTGGCTGCTGGCACAGGGCCCACGGGAGGGCGGGGAGGACGGTGTGCCAGGGCAGCACAGGGCGGCCCTGCTTGGCCTCCACAGTCACCACCCGGCCAGGCTGGGGCAGCCTGAGCTGGAGGCTACAGAGGGAGTTTGCAGAGCTGGGTCAAGCTGTTGTGCCAGGGGGTGTCTGCACTGTTCTCTTATTATTCGTTCTTTTATTGTAAAGAACTACCGAGAGCTGTTTTCCCCTTTGAATTCAATGTTCTGTTTACCTCTGTTTACCAAGGAGGTTCTTCAACACCTTCAGTGTTGAAGAACCTCCTTGTTATATTAATAATATTTCCAGCATAGCCACAATAGTTATTTATTGACACCCAGCTTCTTCCAAAAAATGTGGGTAGGGTAGAGGTGAGGCTGGAGGACAAAGACTCTGGGTGCTGGGTGTGCATCTGTCCAGAGCTTCCCGGTAGCAAAAGCGTGAAGGGAAACAGGATCAGCAAGCAAAGTGTCCTGAGGCCCTGCAGGCCCAGGGGGCGTCGCCCTTGGCCCCCTACTCTGGCGGGCAGCTTCTGCCCATTTAGGACCGAACCGCGCGGGCGCAGGTGGGGTGGCCCCGGTCCCGAGCGCGCGCGCAGCCACAGGCTCGCTCTGTGCCAGGAGCGGTGCGGCAGCGAGAGCGCGCGGAGCCCGAGCCCTGCGCAGGCGGCCCCGACGGGCCGGCCGCCCCGAGCCTCGCGGGCCCCGCCAACGCCGGGGAGGACGAGGACGAGGACGAGGGCGGCGTGCTGGCGCTGCTGGCCCCGGGCCCGCGGGCGCCGCGCGTGGAGGCCGCCTTCCACTGCCGCCTGCGCCAGGACGCGTCGGTGGAGCGGCGCGCGCTGCACGAGCTGGGCTTCTACTACCTGGTGAGCGCGGGCGCGCGGGCGGGGCGGGCGGGCGGCCGGGACCCGCGGTGACCGTCCCTGCGCCCCGCAGCCCGACGCCGAGGGCGCCTTCCGCCGCGGCCCGGGCCTGAACCTGACCAGCGGCCAGTACACGGCGCCCGCGTCCGGCTTCTACGCGCTCGCCGCCACGCTGCACGTGGGTGAGGCCCCGGGCCAGGGGGGTCCGCCCGCCCCGTCGCGTCCCGCCCCGCGCGTGACCACGCCCGCCCTGCCCGCAGCGCTCGCGGAGCAGCCGAGGCGGGGGCCGCCGCGCCCCCGGGACCGCCTGCGCCTGCTCGTCTGCATCCAGTCCCGGTGCCGGCGCAACGTGTGAGTAGCCAGGGGGACCCACACCCCGCCCGCCCGGCCCCTGCCTCCCCAACGCCGCCTCTCCTCTCGGCCCAGGTGTCCCCTGCCCACTCCCGCCCCCACTGCCCCCATCAGGCCGTCCCTTCACAGCAGGGACTGTTAGACACGTCTGTCCACAGCCTGGGCAAGGCAGTGAGACCCATCCCTACAAAAACTAGAAAAGTTAGCCGGGCGGTGGTGGGCGCCTGTCATCCCAGCTACTCAGCAGCCCAGAAGTTCAAGGTTGCAGTGAGCTGTGATAGCACCACTGCACTCTAGCCTGGGCGACATTGAGAACTGACCCTGTCTCTAAACAAAATACAAACAAAAGTCAGCCCAGTGCCAGTCCCTGTCCAGGCTCCCCAGGCTCCCTCCCAGGACCTAGAAGGCCTGGCTCTTCCCAGCCTCCTGCCTCTCTCCTCTGGCCACGTGGGACTCACGACTGGGGCCTGGGCACCAGTGGCACCTCCCGAGAGGCCTTTCCTGACCGCGGGCTGGAGGCCCCCTCCTCTGTCACCCCCCACCCCTCACCTGGGAACTTTGTTCCCCATGATCTCCTCGCTGGTTGTCGCTGGTGTCCCTGTCCACACTGCACCATCTGGTCCATGACAGCAGTGACTGTCAGCTCTGTCTCCCTGGCATAGAGCAGGTGCTCTGCAAATAGCTGGAGAGGGCGCGAGTGGACGGATAAAGTCCAAAACTTCTTAGTCTGGTTTGACAACCTGGAGGCATTGGTCTGAGTGGGCTTTGAGTGTCACCTGCTGCCACGCCCTTGCCTGCAGCTGCAACAGCCACTGTCCCGTTTCTAATCAGAGCCAGGACTTTGCTGCCTCTTGCCTTGCTTCTCCTGGTAGTCGAAGCGTGCCTCCGTCCCTGCGTCTTTCTTCCTCTCGGGGACGCAATACAGACACTGCCTCAACGGGAAGACCCTGGCAAGACCAGGCACCTTGCCAGGCGCGGAGTTGGTGGCTGGGATGGTTGAGTGTGCTGTGGTGAAGTTGGGATCCTGGGGAGCAGGCTGACCCTCTTTCTGTCCCGGCGACAGCTCCCTGGAGGCTGTCATGGGCCTGGAGGGCAACGGCGATCTCTTCACCATCTCCGTGAATGGCATCCTGTACCTGCAGGTGTGTGGGTGGGCTTGGGCAGGGAGGGGCACCACCTGGGCACAGCCACGGGGTGGCTGGGTGAGGAAGGGTGTTGGCCAGGTGCTCAGGATCACTGGGTGCAGCGCCCTTAGATCTAGGCCCAAGACGGGTTCTGGGACAGGCCGAAGCATGCACCCGGGTCTGGGCAGAGCCAGGCTTCTAGGCTCCTTCCTCCAGACCCCGGCTCTTCCGTTTAGGATGCCATCCTCCGGACAGCCGCTCCGCTCTGCAGTCTGGTTTCAGACTTTCTGAGCATCTCATACCGAGGCTGGGTACTCCTGGCCACAACAGGCCTCTGTTGGGACCTGTGGCTGGAAGGGAGGGAGGGGCTGAGGTCTGCCCCGGGATGATGTCATGTCATGGCCCCGGCCCACTCTGACTGTGGGAAGCCAGAGATGTAGTTACCTCCTGCATAAAACCTTAAGTGACCTACTCTTGCTGGCACTGTGGGGATTTGGGCAAGTGGCTAGAGAAATTGATACGAAGGTGGGATTCACTTTAAAAAGAAAAAATTGAAGTGCATGTGTGTGGAATAGCTGCTCCTGTTTAATTGTCACCATGCTCTGGGGAAGGGAGTGTTACTCCCCAATTTGTTCAAGCCCACGCCCAGAGCTGGGGCTGGGGGCCAGGCTGCCGGGCTCGAGTCAGCTCTGTGGGCTGCTGGAAGGCACTGCGGTCCGACGTGGGCGCTGCGCAGCCTGCATGGGGAACTCAAACAGTCTGTGCTCCACCCAGATCTTGTTAAGATGCAGACCCTGATGCAGGTCTGGGCGGACCCCCAGATTCCACGTTTCTGGGAGTTCCCGGGGGATGCGATGCTGCTGGCACATGGACCACATTTGGAGCAGCCAGGCCAGAGCACTGGTCTCACAGGTGGCCCTGCCAGGTGACTGCAAGGCCAGGGCCACCCACCTATGTTGGAGCCCTTTTAGACTCAGAGAAGCCCTGCAGCGGAGACACCTGTTGGACTCTTGAAGCCCACTCTGGCCGAGCAGGGGCTCGCCCCCACACGCAGACTAGACTGCAGGGAGCCGGGAGCAGCAGTCGGAGAGGTGCTGGGTTGAGTGCAAGGCCTACCAATCCCTTGCTCTGCAACCTTGGGCAGGCCATATCCTTCGCTGGGCCTAGGCCCTTCTCCTGTGCAGGGCAGAGTGGGTGGGAGGGAGTGTGGCCAGCTGGCCCCTTGGGCACCTCCGTGGGCAGTCAGGGCCCTGCTGGTGCAGGGACCAGCCCGACACCTGATAGGCGCCTTCCCTGCAGATGGGGCAGTACACCTCCGTCTTCTTGGACAACGCCAGCGGCTCCTCTCTCACAGTGCGCAGCGGCTCCCACTTCAGTGCTGTCCTCCTGGGTGTGTGAGTGGCCACCGCAGGCCCTTTCTCGCCACGCAAACGGAGCAGGGTCTGCACAATGTCTAGACAGTAGCAGAGTGGCAGTGGCCATGTGCAAGAGGAAGCCCACCTGGAACTCTGCCCAGACTGGCCCCTGCAGCTCGGCCCAGAAACAGCCATTACAGGCAGGCCTGCGGAGGTGACATGTGAGCTGGTGGTCCCAGAACCAGGGGTGATTGGTGATTTCGAGCTACCATTTTTTTAAAGGGGAAATGCCCTGTCAGGCTGTCATCCTGGAAATGGTTGCATGCCTGGGAGCACTTGCTTGTCCCGGCTGCAGACCTGGGCTGTTGGGCAGCTTGCCGGGGCGGACCCAGCTTCTTTCCTGCGGCCATGCCCGACCTCTTCCACCTTTCCTTGGGTTCTCATGGGTGGCGGGCAGGGAGAACCGGTGGGTGGGGCCCTGTGTGGAGGAGGTGCAGGGCTGAGGGCCGCCAGTGGGAAGCGAGCTGTCCTCACTGCTCGGAGGAAACCCAGGCCAGCTGGGCAACAGCCTTGCTCACCGCTTGCCGTGTCTCCATCTGGGCTCCCTGGTTCTGCCTGCAGCGGCCACAGAACCCAAGATCCCTGCTGTGGGCCTGGGCACAGCAGCCTCAGGGACCAGAGGGACACTGGACAGCAGATCCTGGGGGTGGGCGGAGAGTGAGTCTGAGCCCCGCTTCCACAAGCTGTCTCCACCTCTAAGGTGTGGGACGTTAGCACACAGGTCCCTTTCCAGATGGGAGCATTGCTCTTCCCTCTGTAAATCCCTCCACAGCCAAGGCCCTTCACCCTCCCCAGAGACCAGCCTGGTCCCTTTTCCCATTCCCACAGCTAGGAACCCACCTACCAGATGAAAGATCTAGAATCTTTGCAGATTAGAGATAGCCAGTCCCGCTGACCCATCACCTGAACCGCTGACAACTCCTGCTGCCTGAGTGGCCTGGCCTGGCCGGGTCCAGCCAGCGCTGGGATGCTCCTTCAAAGCATCTTGCTCACTTGGGTGGCAGTGTGGCTCTGAGCGAGCTTAGACAAGATGCCACTTAGACAGGCCTTGGGGAAGCCTGGTCCCAGGCCTGCCATGCTCCCGTGGCAGTGATGGGCACAGGGGAGGGCGGGCAGTTCCTGTGAGGAGACACAGGGCTATCAGCCTGCAGCTTGCTTAAACGTGGCACCCAACATTTTTCCAAGTATAGGACTGTCCCAGAGTAGCCAGTGGAGAGGACAAGGCCCTTAGCCACCACCTCCAGGGCCCGCTACTGCCTGCTGTGAAGAGTTGGCCACACCCCTACACACAACAGACCACAAGGGACCTAGAGCCATAGGACCTCCAGGGGTGGGGGAGTCAAGCTGGTCTGGAACAGGGGCTCAGGCTTGGGAGCGGAGGCAGCAGCCAGTCACCCTAACCTTCTAGCTGGCCTCCAGGTGAGGTGACCACAGCCAGGTCTAAATGACCTGCAGGAGCCTAGCTTCCCTCCCCCGGGTGCCGCAGCACACACAGGCGGACCATTGTGTGCCCTTGGGCAGGCCTGGCCCGATTCTCAGTAGGACTTGTACCCACCCTACCAGGAAGTGCTGGGCTGGCCTGGGCTGCATCCCCAAGAGCTCTGATAAGGGGTGGTGTGGCCACACCCTTCTCTGGATTTCACTTTGTATCCAGAGGGCACAGATATGTCAGAGAATTTATCTTTTACCCTTGAAAAAGCCACATAACCACGTCTTTCATTTTCTCCACATGAGTGTGTTATACAGCAATCTATCTAAGTATTTATTATATAATATCAGATGGGATGTATTTATACAGCTGACTTTATGGGGCGGTTCAAGTACCTAAGAACCTGTTAACAAGACTACAGAGTTATAAAAACAAAGAGCAAACCCCAAGAGATGCAGTCTTAGTCCCTTAGCCCAGGTTCACCGAGGACAGTGACGGGTGAGCTCAGGAAGGCCAGGTGGAGAGGTGGCCGCCTGCCTCTAGGTGGGGGGACGCCCCTGAAGGTGTGGGACAGGGCCTGCCAGGGAAGCCACAGTGCCAGGCCTTTCCCCGGTTGAGGGCAGTGGCCCTTACAGACGGATGCCTAGTTTGCTTTAAGATACTTACCAAATAAATTATATTTCCTGACTCGGAGGTGCTGAGGTTTTCTTCCATGATACCATACTGGTATGGTACATACTTCCATGATACCATACCCAGTCCTTGAACAGATTGGAAACCTGGTTCATGCCACTCCCTAGGCCGGGGGGCAGCACCACCACCTCTTCAGGTTTAAGTTATGACTTCCACACCACAGACCCTCAGAAGGAACCTCGGGTTAACGTGAACGTTCACAGCTGAGGTCCCTAGGGCTCGGATGCCAAGCTCCACTGACTGACTGGTGATAAGGCCGTCAGTGCTGGGTGGGAGCCAGGGAACATTACCAAACAGATCTGTAAGGGCAAGTTTTCAGAATCTTACATCATCCAGAGCCAAACATTTACACAGAAGTATCTAAGAACTGCTTTACTAAAAAATAATTATAGTAGTAAGGATGACATTATATATAAACAAGTGCTTGAAAAGTATTTTATAACTGTTATTAATAACTCTGTTATTCTGAGTAGGCCGATCATGCATTCTTTTTATCCTTCTAGCGTCTTTCACAGAAGGGTCCCCTTCAAACCGCAGTCCAGCACGGAGCCCACTGCTCACACATCCCTAACACAGGAAGGGGAATTTCAGAGGCTGCGCCGAGTGTCAGGTTGGCTGCTCAAACCAGTAAGGTGCCACCTTTGGCACCCAGGGGATCCAGATTTGAGACCTATTACACCCAACACTCCATAGAGTCTGTCCACGAGACGGCATCTGTCACTAATAGAATCAGAATAACGAATTCTGTTCTGTAGGGTCTGACAGGGCGGGCGCATGGCCACCTGAGTGACCTCGTGCATCAGTCTATTTCCTGGCTGAGCCTGGGCTTGTGTTGGGTACTGTTTTACAACACTTTTTGTGTGGAAAATGGAAAAGAGCCAGAGGGTTCCAAAAGCCCTGGTGCTGGTCCCGGCCTTGTCCCTAACCAGTCATCACCTTGATCTCCTCACTGCAAAATGCCACTTCCCCAACCACGGTCGTCATGGGGGTGAAAGAGCACGTTACTGGCAGCCTGCAGGTCACTGGGAGCCAGTCAAGCTGCCTGTAACGGTTTTGACAAAGACAGACTCAGAGCACATTCTAAAGCACACAAATAACCTCTGAAGGGTCAAGAGGTGCTCACAGCGTAATAAGAGAATTCAAATGACTAGGAAAAAAAAAAGAAAGAAACCTTTATTTACAACCATGGGAGTCCCACAGGAGTACACAGAACACACAGAATGTGCACACACAAAAAATGAACCTTCGAGTCAGCACCACGCGTGCTGCCGCACACGCCGCCCTCAGTGCCCTATCCGCACCACCATCACGGTGACGTTGTCGGCCGAGCCCCGCTGCACCGCCTTATTGGCCAGCCTGTTGCAGGCTGCTTCGTAGCGGGCGTCAACAGCGGGCTTCCCTTCGCGGGTCTGGATCTTCTCATCCTACCAGACAAGAAAGGGGCGCACGTGAACGGGGTGATCCTGCACCTGTACTCTGCCGAAGGAAGAACTGCTCTGGCCCCCATCAGGACTGGCAGGACAAAACGACCAGTGAGTCCCCTGGGAGAGCACAAGGACTGCCTCCACGGCAGGGGGACATGGGATCTCACCACTTCGACTTCTCTAAAAATTAAGGTGCATTTGGAACAACCAGCACACCTTGTGAGATTTCTCACCTCAAGGCAGGACAAGATGAAGTTCACGGCTTCTTCTGGGGTGAAGACCTTGAAGAGCCCATCACAGGCCAGCAAAATGAACCTGCAACACCACAAAGAAACATATATAGGTTTTAGCAGAAATCTTTTTACAATAAAATGGCCTGGAGAGGGAGGTAAAATAAACATCAGGTGTCATGGTAAATGCACACCAAATCTTTGCCACCACATGCCTTGTGCCATTTCCGAAAGATAGAAAGCTGGTGATCATCTGGCCTCAGAAAAACATCCCTGAGCACGCTGCACGCCGAGGGCTGCGTGCAAGCCCAAGACCCAAGGAGGGGATGGCTGTCTACTTTCTTCTGTTTGAAAGCAGCACACTCTCCCTTTCAGAATCAACCGCCTCCTCTAGAATGGCCACGGACGTCTTTCTGAACACCAGTGGATTCAACACGACAGTTCTAGTTTCCTGGCACTGCGGGTTGTGGGTAGGGGATGTTTCCCTGCAGCTTTAAGGTAGAACCACCTTTCTTTACTCACCATAATACCCCCCATCGTTGTTTTCTTCTTTTGACTGGGCGTACATTTGACTAGTATTTACTGAGCACACGGTCTGTGCTAAGGACACAGTGGGGACAAGTCCAAGCAGGCTCCTGTCCTTTCTAGTGTTGTGAGAGTTCGACTCTGAGTAACTCATCCCACAGATCTGTGACTACAACCTGGGAAGGGAAGCCATGAAAGCAAAGCAGAGAGCACTCGGCAGACAGGGGCCTAGCCTAGTCTGGGAGACCAGACTTGACCGAGGGCAGCATTTGGAAAACCAGAGGAGGGGGCTGCTGGAAACATGCCCAGAGACCCTCGGGCGGGCAAGAACATGGCGCACTGAGGGTAGGTGTAGAGGACAGGGGAGCACGGGTCGAGAAGAGGCCAAGCAGGCAAGTACAAAGCAAGGCGTGTGCTCTTCATCCACAGCACTGGGGCAGGACTCCAAGCCGCACGGCGGAAGGACTAATCCCGGCTGCAGAGTCCCTGGCCAATCTCTCACCTCCCTCATCGACTTGGTCCTGTGCATCCTGCCTTCCTCTAGTCTTCTTCTTGCTACTCCCTTATTTCAGCCCTCCCCACCACGCCAGGGCTGCCACTTCAGATCCTAGTGTGCCTCCCTGGCACAACTTTTAAGTTACCTGCTGAGGGCTTCCCTGCCTCAAGGCATGGCGCCGTATCTTTAGGTACACAGAACAGAGACAGACAACTACATGGGCAGTCTCCTTCTCATCCTATCCTGGCTCTACTTGGAAACCTCCCATAATTTCCCACCAATTATGAACAAAAATTCAAACTTCTCAGCATGGAATTGAGGGCCCTTTATAATCTGTCCTCAAAATACCCTACCACCATTTTTCCATCACTCCCTCTGTCCTCCAAGCACCTGCCTGACCATGCAGCATCACACCATCGCACGTTAATGCCTTAGTGTGTGCTCCCTCTGCCAGGAAAGCCTCTCCTCTCTCCACCAGGGATACCCCACTGCCCTCCCTGCCAAAGCCTCCCAGAACACTCCACCCCTCCTGTGACAAACTGCATAGCAACTGCCCATTCCCACGTGTGCTCTTCCACCCCTGGGGAGCCCACTACTGCAGAAACCACATTCTGTTTACCTCTGCTACCCCAGGGCTTAGCACAATTCTAAGACATTGCTGGCCACCCGCTTCCTCCTCCCAGCAAAGATTCGACACAAATCGGAACAAGTCAAGAATAAAGCCATGTGTATGCACACCTGTGCCTTTGGTAAGGTCCTCTTACCTGTCATTGGGGGTCAGCTGGCAACGTCTGATGTCTGGCACAGAAGTGACACCACAGCGCTTGTACTGCCCGTCCCCAATGGAGCGGGACACCTCCAGCACGCCCAAGACACGCCCATCCCTAAAATGAGGGGAAAAACATTTCCAGGCTCCTTCTGACAGATCATGGCTCCACGGTACTTAGAATCTCATCTTAAACGCAGAAAACAGGAGAGTGAAAGATGCAGACTGTGGAATCAACATTATCCAGTACTGACATTTCTTTATCTCAAATAATATGCAGAGATGTCTAGCCATTAACATTCCTGCTGCCCTGGGGTCTCTGCCCAGCACGACAGCCACTGCCCAGCCTAACCTTTCAGTGGACTCAGAGGTTCTCATCACATGCCCAGGTCCACACGCTAGAGTCAGACTTGACTGGACTGGGGAGAAGGGGCTGGCACGGTGTTCTATTTTAAAATTCCTCAGGTGTTTTGGGAATGCAGCCAGGGTTAAGAGTAGTAACTGGGATGTTTTGCATTTCAGTCTAATTTGATTCAGAAAATACCTGAAAGTGACTATACCTACATTCTGGAACACATTTTGTTTACATTGGCTACAGGTATGATTTAACATTAATATAAACAGTAGTACCCTGCATAGCATTCTATTTTGACCCATCCTATTTTTAGTTCAGGGGACACAGAGATGAGGAGGTGACCTATAAATGGGAAGAGACACCTAATGCAAAGTTCTATTGCCAAGGAGAAACTGTGTAGGGAGCCTATAGCCCCAAATTCTGGACGGTTCTGGTCCAGGCTCTAGTGCTTACTCACTGTGTGCCCTTAGGCAGCTGCAAGCTCCCTGCCCCTCAGGCGCACACTTAATCCACACTTAACGGGGTGTGTGAGGGCACCTGGTATACAGCAAAGCCACGCATGGAGGTTCAGCATCATGACAGGGCACCCAAATCAAGGAACAAGAAGCTCTAGAGCTTCTGTGCAGACCGATGCTCTGCCTGAGCTGCTGTCCCAAGGGCAGAATTGTCAGCCTGGCCCTGCCCTTCCCTCAGCCACCCAGTCATGCTCTCAGTGGCTCACGGTTTCATAACAAAGACATGTTTTTTTTCTTCCTCACTAACTTCTGCTGGCATCTATAAAAGGCTGAGCAATCTTCTGGGATACAAACTGTTAAAATAGGCTGGGCGCGGTGGCTCACACCTGTAATCTTAGCACTCTGGGAGGCCGAGGCGGGTGGATTGCTCGAGGTCAGGAGTTCGAAACCAGCCTGAGCAAGGGCGAGACCCCGTCTCTACTATAATTAGAAAGAAATTAATTGGCCAACTAATATATACAGAAAAAGTCAGCCGGGCATGGTGGCGCATGCCTGTAGTCCCAGCTACTCGGGAGACTGAGGCAGGAGGATCGCTTGAGCCCAGGAGTTGGAGGTTGCTGTGAGCTAGGCTGATGCCACAGCACTCACCCTAGCCTGGGCAACAAAGCGAGACTCTGTCTCAAAAAAAAAAAAAAAAATTGTTAAAACAAATAGCAAGAGGAACCACAAAGTGCACAGGCCCGAAGCCAAGATGGGCGTGGGGGCCACTCAGCCTAAGAGCACCAGTTTAGGAAGCAACTCGAGGTTTAAGTACTAATGAGAAGCCAACAAAGTGCCTCTTCTGTGACCACGCAACTGAGTACCTGGTGTGCCCAATGCCCAATCCCAATCATAGACCTGTCGTGTTTCAACAAAATTAAGAGCACAATGACAACCTGTACAACAGCAGGTCCCATCAGACTGAGTCACTACCAGCAACTTCTGGTACAGCACAACTCAGTACAGAAAATGCGGAACAACTCCTCTATGTGATAAGAAAAATGTGAGCAGCACAAGAGCTGCCATCTCTTGTTCTTTACTGAGCAAATTTCCACACACAGTGAAACTCTCACACTCAACTACTGGAGTAATAGGTGGAAGCACCAATGGACAGAATTGTGTATCCAGGAAAAGCCACTTATATTTCAGAAAACGTTTTGGTAAAATTATGGCAAGCCAGCCTGGCACTCTGCCTAGACACCAAGCGATGTCCTACACAGGATGTGTGTGTGCAAATACCGGTCAGCTCAAGAAAGGCTCATCAGAGTCCAACTCTGAGATCGTGCGTGGCATGAGGGTAAAGCCACACCACTTAGGCTTGGTGAGTGGCTGGTACAGATCAGACGGACCACTCCCAACTAGGCTGGTCCACTCAGCTCCGGGGCCCCAAAGGCTTCATACTGCCCAGTCTGCTGTACCTGTTTTACCAGAACTCTTAACACATACTCTGTACGTAACCATCTGTTAAGACTGTCTGCACCACTCTGGACATAGCATCAAGAACAGCAGGTTCTCCCCTAAAAAACTGCTAAAAAGTTCCCTCTCCTTCCTCTACCCCTCAAAGTCCCCCCTCCCCCATAATTAGTAATATAAAACATAGGATGGAGTAGCTTTTTTTAGTCTCAACCTACCACGCCAAATCTGCCTGTCCCTGGTAGCAGCCCTCACTGGGACCGGCCTCCCACCCTTAGGCATTTCCAACTTTCACTTTATGCTACTTTACTTCTCTTCTGTCTTGCATGTGCCAATGCGAGAACGGTTTTCCTATTAATGGGCAAGCTGTTCAATAGTCCTCAGATCTTAGCTGTGTTTGCTGCTATTTTCTGTTCCAGTTCTTTCTTCACAATCAGACCGACACTGAGATTTCCTACTATGTGTGAGTTTAAGCTAATCTGGCTGCTAAGAGATGCTGGAGACTTCTGCTCCTTAGCACATCAAAGCAGGGACACAGTGGCATGGATGAAGAGGCTATCCACACCCGATGTCTGCAAAGCTAAGGGTGGAAGGTGGAAGCTCCGTCTCCTGACCATCCAAAGAATGGCAGACGCCCAAATCCAGTGTATTAACATGATGAGTGCTGCAG